TGAGTCATTTATGGTGGGTGGGGGAAGGCTTGCATCCAGCCCCTACCTCCAAGTGACCAGTCAACTATTTCAGTTTCCCAGTCCCTGTAGAGCATCCCGTATAAGCTATCAGTATTGACCCAATAACCTCTCCAGCACCAAAAATGCTGTAAATGTATGCAGTTAAGAGCACAAGGGTAGATACTGGATTGTTCCAGTTAGTTTGCTGGCCAAGTTCCTCAAAAACCTGCAGGAAGCAATCATGAGTGTCCACTGGAATGTGAAAGGGTGGGTGGAGACTGGTGGAGGAAAGTCAGCAGGTAGGACCGGGCGACCCTGCCTGTTTCTTTTGTACACAGAAGAGCCACACGCACGTGCTTAGGTACTGGCCCCTTTGTAGGGCAGCTACAAGGAGGGGGACTTGTACACAGCACATTAGTTCAAGAGAGAAGGCAGCTACTATAAAGAGGGGAGGGACAGCCGGCTTGCCCGCCAGGCGTCATGAGTATCAGGAGAGGACATGACAGTGAATAATTTTAAAGAGAAAAATCACGAGTCTGAATTGAATTAGTAGTTAAATGCTGTTATGTAGTAAGCACTGAGAAGATAAAGCTCAGATACGTTAAGTAGCTAGGAGAGGAACTTGGCTTTGAAATAAAGTCAAGTTACTTAAGCTCTTCAAGTCTGTTTTAGCTGTTTGAAATCCAACAAGCCACTTCAAAACTTATCATTGCTTAAAAAGCACTTTTTTTCTTTTTATCATCCCTCACTGTGCTGGGCTTTGTGGTCAGTGAAGCAGTCTTGGTTCTCAGGCAGTGGCCAAGCTGGCATCCTCTCAGAGACATCCTCATGCTAGTGTGACAGTAAATGGTGGCCGTCAGCTGCACTTGCACACAGGGCCGGGTGCCAAGAGCTGGAGTCGCAGAAGACAAGGGAGAAAGCAGCTGGGACAGTAGACTGGCAGGATGACCACTGCCGAGTTCTACTAAAAGACCACACTTTTAACACCTCAGTAAAAACCGCCAGGAACAGAACCCTAGTTCTCTCTCCACCCTCGTAGGCACAATAAGCATGTTTTACCACCAGTTTGAAATCGCCTGAGAACCAAATATTTCTGAAGGCAGTTCAGGACTCCTCTGTGCCTCAAGATTGATCCCTGGACTGACTGAACCAATAAACTTGTGCTCAAGCAGGTCTGACTACAGTGTCTTCAGTTCTCTGCATATTCCCAAGGTTAAGGTTATTACCAGCAGGTACTCAGGAAGTAGCTTGCTTTATGCGTGTTTCTATTAGGAAGACAACCCATAGGTGGAAGGGACTTCATTTGCCCAGAGCCCACACTGGGGTCCTGTCATTAGGATTCAAACCCAAAATGCCTAGCTTGGAATCTTTTGCTTTGTTCTGCCTTCTGCGTTTCTGTGGTGTTACCAAGAAAAATCTTGCATTCATGTTCTTAGAAGTCATGAGCTTGGGCCTGGCTGCGTGGCCTAGCAGCAAAAGTCCTCGCCTTGAACACGCCAGGGTCCCATATGGGCGCCGATTCTAATCCCAGCCACCCACTTCCCATCCAGCTCCCTGCTGGGAAAGCAGTCGAGGACGGCCCAAAGCCTTGGGACCCAGCACCCACGTGGGAGACCTGGAGGAAGTTCCTGGCTCCTGATCGGCGCAGCACCAGCCCTTGCAGTCACTTGGGGAGTGAATCGGTGGACACAAGATCTTCCTTTCTTTCTGTCTCTCTTCCTCTCTGTGTATCTGCCTTTCCAATTAAAATAAATATATCTGACTTTGTGATTAAAGAATTTTTTATTGGAAAGCCAAATTGACAGATAAAGATCTTCTGTCTGCTGGTTCACTCCCAAGTGGCTGCAACGGCCACGGCTGAGCCAATTCAGAGCCAGGAGCCAGGAGCCAGGAGCTGCTTCTAGGTCTCCCATAGGGGTACGGCGTCCCAAGGCTTTGGATCATCCTCCACTGCTTTCCCAGGACACAAAACAGGGAGCGGGATGGGAAGAGGAGCAGTCGGGACATGAACTTCCACCCATATGGGATTCTGGTGCGTGCAAGGGAAGGACTTTAGCCACTAGGCTATAGCACTGGACCCAAATTCCCTCCTATATAGAAGGTTGCTTGCCACGGGACGTGGCCAACGGGATCTTAGAAACAGGACAAAAGCTCGGTCCTGGAAAATACTCACACGCTGGGACCTACTCTCATGGTTTTTTTAGACCAGCCACGACACAGGGAATCCCAGGCCGAGGACATGTGGCCCAGCTGCTCCTAAGCATGGGTGAGGCCACCTGAGACCAACCAGCGCCCCAACTGACCTGCCAGCTCACTTCAGCCACATGAGAGCCAAGATGAGATGAGGGGTAACTGGGCTGACCAGTGCCCAGTACCAGAAGTGGAAGCAGTTATTCAGCTAAATTCCAGGGTAGCTGTTACATACAGAAGGCCTGTGGACCACTCCTGACCCAGAGCAGCCACTCATCGCACAGCTGAAGAAGCAGAGACCTAGCAAGGAGAGATTGGTTATCGGTCACCGGCCTGTCCGCAGCAAATCCCCGGCTGCTTTATTCTTTCAGGATGGCAATTAGCATCACAACTGAGGATGTGCACACACCTCAAGAAGTGATAGAATAGGGGATGTCCTTGCCAGACTCCAATTCAGGGCCCCCAGTGCATGGCTTTTCTGGGGTGCTAGGATTGTACCAGGAGGATTAGGGCGGGGCTGGGCAGGACAGGTGCCTCCCCTCCCTCTCCTGTGGCGCTCCACCTCCGCAGCATGCCAAGGCAGGCTGTGGTCGCTGCTGGTCTCCCTGCTCCTCGAGCTCTGCAATGTGAAAACTAACAGGCCGCGCCTGCAGTGAATATCACACTAGACTCTGGAGATCCAGGGACTTACCAAGCCCCAAATCCCCTTCTTTGGACTCTGCCTGAATTCTGATCCAGGGCAACTGTTCCCCATGTTGTAAGACAGGAATACCAAGACAGGAAAAACAGGGGACCACGTGGGCATACCCATGGATCTGCTGCCTGCTGGCTTTGGCCTTCTAGGTACTGAGGAAAGTCACAGGTTCAAGGACTGGATGGCTGTGTCCCACGGGGAGTGGGGAGAAACAGGGGTTAACTAACGGGACTCTCTCTGTGGACCAGCTATGCTCCACTATGCTTTCACCTCTGCATAGTGAAGCCTTTCGTACTCTGTCAAGCTGGCACCATAAGGCTCTTCAGAAACCTCTCCAGGGGCAGAGAACCCAGCAGATAGATATGGGACTGTCTTCCTGTGGGACAATTAATGCTCAAAAGGGCTGAAATATAGAATATGGTCCCCAGCAGGACCTTTGGCTCAGGTGTGAGGCTAGAATCCTGGCAGGCTTGGGACTAGCCTGGTCAGGCCCCTGCAAAGCCAGGAAAGGCTGAGACCCACAGCCATACTGCCATGTCAGACTACTCATGACAGCAAAGCAGTGTGGGAAGTGGGAGGTAGCAAAGATCGCCCCTCAGGACTTCCACACCACAAGCTATTCCATTTCCCATCCAGCTCCCTGCTGGTGGCCTGGGAAAGCACTAAGGGCGTTCTAAAACCTTGGGACCCTGTACCCAAGTGAGAGACCCAGAAGAAGCTCCTGGCTTCAGACGGGCTCAACTCCAGTCATTGTAGCCACTTGTGGAGTGAAGTCAGGAGGATCTTTCCATGTATCTGCCTTTCCAATTAAAACACACACACCCCAAGCCTAGGGTCAGTGGGGTGGGCAGAAGGATCCAGCTAGCTTGCAAACAGGACGTGTAAAGATAAGGAAAGTACCCAGACTGCCTCGGAGGATGGGAAGGGAAAGGCTGCAGGGAGGAGGAAATGAGCAGTTCTTAGAACCTGTGAAACTCAAATAATGACAGCAGGTCAAGGGGGAGGAGGAGGAAGGAGTTGCCAGGCTTGGAAGAAACCCTGATTTTCAGTGCTATTCCTCCCTCCCCTACTGCCAGCCCCAACCAATGAGACCAGTCTCATTTGGACCAGGGTGGATACTTGACCAAAACTGTGGGAAATGAAGATCTGCTGTGGCTGTAGCAATTGATTCTCTTGGGAACTTAGGGAAAAATTCATTCGCTGTGGGGAGCCAAAGGGAGAGGGGAGAATACAATGTGCATTATGTATGTGAAGAACCAAAGTGTGAAGCATGCCGGGCAACTGGCAACCAGAGCAGTGTCCGCACGGGCAGGCCCAGCACCTGGCTGCCAGCCGCCTCATGCCTGAGGTCCCAGCAGTGGAACTCAATTCCTTCCTCCCCAAACTGCCTGGAGTGTGAAGGACTTTGGTGGATGTTCTGCAAGGCTGCGTTAGCCTGCGTGTGGAGGTGGTGTTGAGAGCCAAGAGAGCCCAGGGCAAGAAGGAACATGCACCCCTCGCCCAGGAGCTGGGTTCTGTCCCGACAAGGAAGAGGTGATCACACAGGCAGGGAAGGTTTCAGAAATAACCCCATGGTGGATGGCAGGAAAGAGAGGAGGGCAGAAGCCATAGATGAAGAGGCTAGCGAGAGGACAGCATCCAAGTCAAGGAAACATAGTGTGCTAATGCAGGTAGAGCAGGTGGAGGAAGTGGTAACTGTTAGCATTGCTTCAGAGTTGGGAAACATCACACTAAATGAGAGATAAGGCCTCGACCTACCACTGGGTGATCAGATGAGCCACAATCGCGTGGCACAGGAGCCAGCAGGGTGTGCTGGAAAACAGGAGCATATCCAATCCTCACCACAGCTCTCTGGGCCACACTGGCAAAGCCAACAGCCCATGGGTCAGTATCAGAGATCCTAGACCATGCTTCTGGTAAGAGGAACAAGGAAAAAACAGGACGGGGCAGCAGACCAGCTGTTTAAGGGGCTTGAGAGGAGAGGAGACCACCTTTAGAAAACACAAACCACCCCATGTCAGTAGGCTGGGATCCAATGTCTTTATTGTCAGGACCCCTCCCCTGGGGCTTCCCAGGAAAACCCCAGGAAAACCACATGGCTGGAATTGTCCTTGGGAGGGGAGACAGAGTGATGGAAAACTTCTGTGTTCTGCCCTCTGGCCTGAGCAATACAGACAAGGATGGGGCATGGGGAAGGCATGGGCCAGGAACTCCACCTGCAGAAGACGTAGCACTGGCTGGGATGTGTGTGGGGAGGAGGCGCCTGCTGCCTGCTCTCTTCTGGCACCCCTAGGGATGGGTGCCTGGCTTGAGGCCTGGAACAGCGATGCCCTTTTCCTGTTGGGAGCCATTGCTCCTGTCAGACTGAGAAAGAGAAAGACAAATAGACTAAGGTTGAGAGGAAAAGACTCTGCTACATTTTTATTCTCCCCCCTTAATGAACCTTATTTTTGAAAATTTCGGATTAATACATAATACACATATATTATTTTTAATGGGGCACATGGTAATACTTCAACAAATGCACACGGTACTCAAACAAACCCGCAGCCTTTTTGTTTCCTCCTTGTGTTTGGAGCCCTCCATCTCTGTCTGGGCCTTCATGCAGTACACGATGCAGAGTATGATTCGTCACTGTGAGCTCGAATCGCCCACTGTGCTGTGAATGCTAGGACTTGATCCTTTCGTGTTTGGTATCGGTTATCCAACATCCTTCCCCTGCACCCTGTATGAATCACTGTTCTAGGCTTAGATGAACTCTCTTTTAAGGTTTATCTTGTGAATGGGCAGACAGGATCTTCCATCTGCTGGCTCTTTCCCCTAAAAGCCATAACAGCCAGCCCTTGACCAGGCTAAAGCCAGTTGTCAGGAACTCTATCCTGGTCTCCCACATGGGTCTATCTTCAGCTACTTGACCAGGCACACTGGCAAGGAGCTGGATCGAAAGTGGAGCAGCTGCGACAGGAGCTGGCAGCTGGGCTGCTGCCATCACAGCAGCTTAATTTATGCAGTATCACCAGCTCCTGCAGATTTTTGGGCTCATAGCCTTTCTAGCGGGGGAAGAGGCTCCTTACTGTCATTTTGATGTGCATCTTCCTGACCCTGGTGTTCTTCTGACCACGGCAGGTAAGAAAGGGTTTAACAATGCCTGCCACGACATACCTGCACCATGGCCTCGGGCTTTTTGGGTCATGTAACCTCAGGTATGTGCTGCCCCCTCCCTGAGTGCCCACACACCTCACTTGTGAAGTAGCTCCACAGGGTTAAATTCAGCCTCACAAATAAACGGACCATTATGGTCTGAGATGCAAACCCACCTATGGAGAATTTTGCAAGATTCAGTATTCTGAAAGCCCTTGCTAGTGCAACAGCCATGCATGTGCCACAAGCTAGGATGCCCCTCTCTGCCTTGTGTTTGAGATTGTCCTCAGTCTAAGCAGGTCTTACTCTGCACGTGGTCCAGCAGTGGCCTGCCTTTTGGAAACTCTGAAGTGACCAGTGGTCACAGAGTGGGCTCCAAGGCCACTTACCACAGGATTCCAATCCAGGCTCCAACAATTACGACCCCTAGATCTAAATCCTGTACTGCACGTGGTTGTCTTCCTGCACCTCAGTACCTGGGTTCCCACAGCTGCTATAGCAACCCAGGCAGATGAAATCAGATAAAGCAGGCACAGCTCCAGCAAGCCAGGGCACTTCCCCAAATTGGACTGAGTCCTGGCACGTAGGACCCTTGTCTGTCCTACGCGAAGCTGGACCTACAGCCACAGGGGGCTGGCTGCTGACCTCCTGCACACCAGCGACTGTGGACTGTGGACTGCTAGGGCTCTCCCTCAGTAAACACTAATTCTCTTGCATCTGGGCGCAGATTCAGACATGTACCCTTCTCACCCCCTGGGTTTGCCGCCTCTGTCATCCAGCTTGCAACGGCTGCAAAGTTTTGTTTCTCTCTACTAGATTAGCAGCTCTTCAGGGTGGAGACAAGTGGTATGTAGCACTGAGATCTGTACTTCACTGCTTCCCCACCCACTGCCCATCAGGACCCACCCGGTACCTGCTTACTGCAAAGCCGCCTCTTCTGCATCTGTGTCCTGGCTGCGCTCCTAAGAAGAAAGAGACCACACATCACTCACGGGACACTCGGAGTCATGTCCTGGGCCACCTGTGTCCCAGAGCACACCTCCAAGATGCAGTCAGAGAAAAGAAGCGAAAACCAAGAGGAACGACTGTGGGATATTGAGGGGGTGGTCTGAGGGCCCCAATGCATAGAAACAGGATCACTCACGGGATTCTGAGGCTAGCTGGGGGCACATTTCTGTATATGGAAAGACTCTGAATTACAGCAGGCTAGAAAACAGTGTAGACTGACAAGTTCCCCATCTCTAGGACATCCATAACTTTCGTTAGGGCCTATTATGCCTCCACAATTAGGATGGAGTGGCAAGCTAGGTTGAGGAATGGAGAGACACGCTAGGCAGGAGGACTCTGGGCAGTCACAAGAGCCCATCATGCTCATGCTGGGGCTGGCAGGGGTGAGGAGAAGCTCTGGCACTAGAGAAGGAAAGCTCAGCTCTATATTAGTTATGAGAGCCTGACTAAGCAAGCTGCTTGGTCCCTCTGAGCCACCACTTCCTTCTAAAGTGAAATATGCAACATAAATCCTTTCTACAGAACAGGGTTGCTGCAAGGATTAAATGAGGAAAACCAGGACTACAGAATCTGCGGCTCAGCAAGAGGTCATGAAGGACATGGCAGGCCCTGATGGACACCTCACATACCTGGGCTTGGCTCCCCTCCCACTCGGGGTCAGTCCCTGTCAAACGGCTTCCCAGCAGTAAAGGACACTGCGGAGGCAACCTGTTTCCTGCTTGGGCAGCATGGCTTTCAGTGGCATGAACCCCCACCTCCCCATGACGTCTCCAGGCAGCCCTAGACTGTTCCGCAGAACTCCGCAGACCATATGCTTTCTCTGGGCCCGACTCTCCCCTTCACCAACCCACATGGCGAACAGAGGCCAAAGCAGGCCCTGAGCTTGTGTGGTCTGTCTTGGTGCCCCACGGGACTTGTGAAATACACTCCCCCTGCCTCGCGCTTCCTTTCTCACAGGTCTGGCAGTCCTGAGGAGGGAGGAGGCCAACTGGTTCACCCCTTCCCTCTGCCAGCCCCCTGTAAAGCAGAGCCCAGCCCTGGCCTGTCCCAGCCTCCCTCAGCCATGCCCTTGTCCAGGCCCTTACCAGCTCTTCCTCACTATGCGTCAGCAGTCCCTCCTCATCACGGTCGTCCCGGGCCTGGGCTTCTCCCTGGGTTGTGTCTGTCGCAGAAGTCTGGTCTTCTTGGGGGGCAGGTGGCCGGCTGCTGCTGCTGCTGCCGCTGCCATTGCCACTGCCACTTGCACCACCATTGCCACCACCACTGCCGCTGCCACTGCCACCGCCACCACTGCTGCTGTCGCCCTTCTTCTTGCCATCTTGAGGAGCAAGGGTTAGATGTGGAGATACCAGACCTCACCAGCAGCAGCCCAGCGCAGCACTTCAGTCACAGGCGGGCTGGTCCGCAGGGCTCCCACCCCCACCCATGTCCAGTCCTGCCCTTGTTCTGATCCAGCTGCCCCTCGAGGCTGACCTGCGTTGGCCTTTTGCTCCTGTGCAATCTGCTCCAAGCGGCCCAGCAGGGCATCGATGGTGGACTTGATCTGTGTCAGCTCTGCCTTGATGGTCTGTAGCTCACTGCTCTTTACTGGGAGAAGGGAGGACAAGAGTGTCACGAGCACAGAAACCATTCAGAAAGGCAATGATCTCCCAACCCCAGCCTCCTTCTGACCCTTGTAGGAGACCTCCCCTTTGTATGGCCCACCCATACATCAGAACTTAGGACTCTCTTCCCCAGTCCTCTCAGCTTCAAAGAGACTCGAGGGGCAGCAGCTCAGCGGTGAGGGTGCTCCTCAGCACGTATGCACCAGAGTAACACATGTTGTCACTTATGCCAAACAGCAAAATCTGTCTTTCAGGCTGTGTCAACGTGCCTCTCCTGTGATCAGTTCCTGGGTACTGACTGTAAATGTGGGATAGGAGCCTGTGTAGCATCTCACGGTGCTCCATGTCACAGCCCTGGACTTGGTGCCCAGCCCAAGCCCCTTCTTCTCAATCACCAGCCTTTTCCACTTAGATGTACTTGGTTGTATGAAGGCTGCAGAACTGTGGGAAATCTGTTCTTTTATTTTCCAAAGTAAAAAAAAAAAAAAAAAGTGATTCCATTATTTTGCTAAGATAAAAATATAGATCCCATACAAAGAGAATACAGTCAGTCACTCACATTTGATCTTGGCTGAGCTGGTGGTGGCACCCGTGGAGCGGGCAAAGAGCTTCACAGGTATGGTGGTTTTGACGCGCCGGACCAAAGGGACTGTCACCCGGGGTCGCTTCACTGGGACTGCCCTGGGCACGGGCACTGGTGACAGGCGGCCCCGGTAGTCGAAGAGCCTGTGAGGATAAATGGGTCAGCAGCTGTGGTGTGGCCTGTAGCCACTGAGGGACACTGCAGACAGCTCTAGCCCTCCTTGGATATGGCTGGTGAGGGGCTAGGAGTGTTATATACTTCTGTCTGCTCCCAACAACCCAGACGGTGAAAAAGAAGGGCTTTATGGCCCCTGATGGTTGCGGGGGTTCTCACTTTAAACTCTTCTTTCTACCAACCAGGCCAGTTCAGGGTAAGAGAAGCAGCAGGTGGTAAGGGTTGCATCCCCCACAACAGAGGTCTGTCTGACAGGAAGGCCTACCCCATCGCTCAGTCAGCTGCCACTTTCTTTAGACCCTGACTCTGCTCGGAGTCTGCAAATGTCCTCAGCTGACACAACAGGGAGGTGTGGGAGCAACCCGAGCCTCCCTGAGCTGTCATTTCCCCACACCAACTCGCTGTCTACTCACATCCACTGTGGGCGTCCAGCATGAGAGGGTACCTGGCGCCCATGACCTCAGACAGAGGAGGATGGGCCTGGAGACATTTCCTTATTTTTGGCCTTCTTAATCCCTTCCCAGTCCCTCCCCTGCTCTACTACAGAGCTGGAGAACAGGGGGCCCAGTAGTGTTTCAAAGCTGGCCACCTTAGTCACACCACATGCTTGCTGCCCCCAAAGGCCATCACCCACCCCTCTCCAAGAGGGGTTCTTTTCATGTTAAACGGTAGGAAGTCAGCAGGCTGAACCTGGTGTGGTGGCAACAGAGCGGGGAGGGGTCTCCCCTACCTGCTGCCACTACCTTACTGCAGGGAGCTACAGCTTCATGGGGGTGCCCTGGGACCACGTTCCCCATGACAGCCAGGAAACCTGCTATCTGCTAAGTATCTGGATACCCAGTTCCTGGGCACTCCCTTCTTCAGGGGGCCCTGCCCTGGGGGTGTGATGGCTGGAGATGGACAGTCTCTAGGAACAGATCCAACCCCAGATCCTGCATTTCTGCTCCCAAGGGGAGGGGGCGGCTCTGGCCTTGGTCAGAATCACTGAACCACAGAATCTCAGAGCTGGAGGAACCCTAAGAGACTGCTTGGTGCAAGCCCATTTTACACTAGCAAGGGGATTTGCCCAAAGTCACATAATCCATGCAGTGGAAGAGTTGGGAATAATAGTCAAGTCTCCTGCCACCCAGCCTAGGCCTCTTTCCACTAGACCACACTGTCTCCCAAGACTATGCGCAGGTGAGAAAAAGCAGGCTGAGGGGGTCTGTTCTTCCTGGGCTGCCTGAGGTGGAAAGGGGAGGAGTGCTGCTGATGCCAATGGGGTGGGAACCCATGGCCTCAAGACAGGCTCAGGGAAGGAGGTGGGGAACACAGGCCTCCAGGGACTAATGCAGACCTCCCAAAGTCTGCCTGGTCTCTTGGCTATAAGTGTAAGGCCAGAAGCTCAGAATGAGCTCTGGGGTTCTGCCAGTGAGTCAGGCATTTCACACGGATGACAAGAACAAAGAGCAGAAGTATGAGGGCTCCAGTTCCCAGCAACCAGTGCTAAGTGGTTTTATATTCCAATTGGCTAAGGTTGTTTGTTCCGTGGCTATACAGTTTCCTCTGTCTCAGGTCTAGGAGGAGGAAGTGTGGTCAGAGTGCGAGACAGTGTGCTATGGCAGTGGGGACTCTGGGCGATGCACCTACAGAACCAGAACCAAGGCCCAGCCCCGCCACTGGCTTGTGGAGCAACCTTGGGCAAATGCCTGCCCACACCACTGGGCTTTGCTTGCCATTTGGAGGAATGAGTGGGCTGTGTGGCACCAGCAATCTCTCAGGACCCTTCCAGCTTTGCTGTTCCATGCCTGGGCGCGCCCCTCCCCTGCTCACCTGTCGTAGAAGTCGTCCCGGTAGTAATCATAGTCAAAGCTGTAGCCACTGGGAAAACAAAGGGGAGAGGGCCAGCGCTTAGGGACGGCCACTCCGCCCACTCTCCGCAGGCCCTTATCTCCATTCGCATCCCCAAGTTCTAGATGTAGCACACTGTCACCAGCAGCAGAAAAAGGGGCCCATCCACTCAGACACACAGCCACACGAGGCGCCCCACCTGTAGATGGCAGATGCTGCTCTCTTTAGCCCCTTGGGTCTGTTGGGCTTGGGCTCTCCAGCCATGTTGATGTCTGTGCGGAGGGAGGAGGCAGAGTCGGAATGCCGGCCTGACAGCGGTGTGCCCACACACATCACCCGTGTGCACACAGGCAACTCACACACTCACAACAATGTACATACACGTAGGACTGATGCGACCCATTAAAGTCTTCATACATTTAATCTTGCAAACATTAGACTCAAACCCACATACTATCTTCACATATGTTCACATCAAGAAAATCACAGACACACAGATACCATGTACTGTCCAAGTACACTTGACTTGGTTCTAACATACGTGATTGCCTGAATGCAAATAAGCCAAAGTACATTTGCGTGGGCATTCTACAAACTTGGTTCTTGAGGGGATCTCAGTAAATACCCAGTGAAGCAATCTATAATTACCTATTTACATACACTCAAGTGCATTCTAACACACACACATACTTATCACGCCTACATTTAATAAGGGCACATGTTCACATGTTCAGTCACATCACATACTTCATGGTCAGTAACACATATATGGATGTCCCTTCTCAAACATACACTAACACTGCATGGTCATGTCACACATCTGGAACACCAAAGCCAAGGGTATCTGCTTTGTCCCTGTGTTTCCAGCCTATGCTCCTGGGTCTCAGAAAGAGTTCTAACCTAAGTCACCCACTGCCCAGTGTTTCTCTGGAGAATCTACATTTCAAATGGAACCATTTTACTCAGAAACAATGAAGGGACTGGAATGAAACGAAAGGCTTTTCCAAGGGCTACTAAAATTCCTCCTGTGCAGCACCAATTTTGTAATACATATCAGATATATAAAAGCTCAAAGCAGTGGTAGAGATTGAAGGACTAAACCAAAGAGCTGATAGGGAGCTGAAGAGGAAGGGTAGTAAAGAAAAGCGCTTCACTTACCCAGGGTCTGCCCAGCCAGCACCCGCCCATTCTCTCCCAGCACAGCTGCCCGGGCATGACGTTCGTTGGAATACTGGACAAAGGCATAGCCCTTGTGCACGGAGCAGCCGGCCACACGGCCATACTTGGCGAAGATGGTCTCCACATCCGACTTCGTCACCACAGTTGTGTTGAGGTTTCCAATGAAGACCCGAGAGTTGATGGACTTGGGATCATTCTTGTTGGTAACATTGCTTGTCTGGATCTTCAATGACATGGTGGCCACCTGGAGAGAGAGAAAGCCTCTAGGATGCTGGTTCCTGGGCTGGGCGCAGGCTACATCCTGGCTTACTCCTTGGACTGGGTGCCCATAGCCTGCATCCTGGCTTACTCCTTGGACTGGGTGCCCATAGCCTGCATCCTGGCTTACTCCTTGATCTTGCACAACTCATATCCCGGTAGCCATGTGACCTCCAAGTTTCTGTACCTTGTCTTCTTGCTGTATTACCTAGAGCTGCGACTTTGGAGCCGCTGACTTCACTGCCAGGACCTCACACCAGACACTGGTTTCCTCATCTGGAATTTATATGTGTGGGCAGAGCCACAGCATTTTAATGGGAAGAATCCCACATTCCCACAGGTCACAATGCTAGTCACTGACAGGGCTGGATCTGAATGCTGCTCAGCTTCACTCCAACCTTCACACACACACACCCCTTCTCTAATGCTATCTCCGATGCTATCCCATTCAGGATCTAAACTGGAAGATCTTCCACAGCTTTTCTTCTGTTGCTTCCAGGAAGAAACACAGCAAGTTCACAGGGTGACTGCATGTGATGTTTGCTCTGGAACCACACTATCGTACTAGCCATTTTTGAGCAAGTTGTGCTTCTAGAAGGCTCACTGAGGGCTCAGGATGGCATCTAACAGCAAATAACCCCAAAATCCTGTTTTACTGAAAATGGAGATGGGCAATTTCATTAACTTAGCAATAACGAGTATTTAACTTGGGATCAGTCATCTCAATCACCCTGCTTCCCAGAGTTAAAGCCAATTTAAATACCACAGTAAGCCAACATATTTATCTAAGAATTATTTTATTAAAAATTATATGGATCACTTACTTTAGCATTAAAATTTTGTTGTTCAGCCTTGAGATGAGACTGCACCCACTCTTCATTCTATACTCAGAAACATCTCTGGCCCAAGCAGCAGTGCATGTCTCTCCTGCCCCTGCCTCTTAGGATAGGTTACGCCTGGTCACAGGCCCCGGGGAAGGGAAGCGGGGCTGGCTCAGTTTCTACTCACTGGCATGGGAAGGCAAACTCCCTTTTAGAACAATGCTATTTCAATATTCATCCCAAAGATGCTAAAGGCAACAAGTAGCATATACAAAAATGCTCACATTTCGAGTAGAGGTCATTTATTTTTGGTGACTTTGAGAATATAGCTGGGAAAACTTGTTATCTGTGATTCCAGTTGATTTGTAGCTAAAATCTCCCAGCTTGGAAGTTGAAGGAGTCTCACCAGCAGGTGGCACTGTCCACTAGGAAACCATAGGTGGGCCCTAGGAATGGGACCGGAGGAGGAATTGCTCCTGGGTTTCCCCAGTAAACTCCATGGAAACACTGGGATTGAATGCACACACTAAGATAAAAAGAGAAGAGGGCGCCACCTGTCAAGGCAGAGCTGTCCAAGAGGCAGGAGGCAGGCCTCACCTCACATGGAATTTGCCAAGGCCTTGATTTTGGCCTTTGCCTCTAGAATGGTAAGAGATGCATGTCTTCTGTTAACGAGCCATTCAGTTTTAGCGCAATCTGTTACAGCAGTCTGAGCAGACTAAGATAACAGCCTTAATTCTGATATTGTTGGTATCATCTTACGGATTGAGAGAAAAAGCTGAAGATGAAGAAAGAGAAATGATGTCCACGAGGCTGGTAAGGAGTGTAGTCAGGGCTGGTCCAGGTTCCTTGTTGAACCTTCTACAAGCCACTGTCTCAGCAGCATCCCGTGCTTCTGTCCGCGCCCAATCCTATCGGACCCACCCTGGTCCTCAGTTCACCTCTCAGACCCTCTCAGTCACTCTCCTAACCTAAAAACTTTCCATAGACCTAGACCCCTTCCTCTTCACATGGCTTTTTCAAAGAAGAAGCTCTCTGGGTCTTGATAACACCAGTACCGCTTACAGCCTTGGTCTTAGCCAGACCTACTGAGCACCTCTGGCCTTCCTCTCCTGGGTGGGGATGGGGGTCTCAGCAGCTTGTGGCCAATCCTCTCCCACTAGAACAGCTGTCAGGGAGATCTGTTTCTGGAAAGTCAAAACAATTATACTGATCAGTGTCCAGCACTTCTCCCTGGTCCAGGGGCTCCAAGCTACTAGACTGCCAGGGACAACACCACATTTGTTCATCTCATTAAACCCATCAGGTTCCAGCTCATCAGCATTGCCTAAATGATCATTATTGGTCTGATAGGAATAATTTCCCCAAGAGTACTCTTTAGTTCCTGATCATTCTGAATCTCTTGAGAAACCCCAGCTCTCAGCATGCCACCCACTGGGCTCCCACACAGGCAGACTCACACCACAGGTCCAGAAGGCTTGGACGAGGCACTACATGATCTGCAACAAGGCATGGAATTACCCTGGGCTTTACCATCATCCTTGTCCCCTGAACCAGGACTCATCTACTGCACCTGAAACCACTATTTCTAACTACCCAATCCCTTTCCCTCTTTCTCACACAACACACTTCTCCTGGGTATAATCCTCTGCCCTGGCACCCTGGGACTAGCTGGAAAGCACAGACCTATTTGTTTCTCAGAAAGCCCTCTCTCCAGGAACCTGGTCACTTTTTCCTAATAACAAAAGGAAAATGCAGACAAAGTAGTAAAATCAACAAGTCTCTACAGTCAGACAGGACTTTGTTCCGGTGAGCCCTATCATTCAGGAACTATTAACGCATGAGCTTTAAGCTTGCTGGGCCTCAGGTTCCTCAACTACAAAACAGGAATTACAATGGACCGTTTTTGAAGGACTATACTGTTGTGAAAATGCAGGGTAAATTAGGGAGGGAAAGGAGTATTAGGGAGGGAGGGGAGAGGGAAAATCCCTGAATCTACAGAAATGCATCACTAAATAAATAAATGTTTTTAAAAAAAAAAAAAACTTTCGCCTTTTACTAAAAAAACAAACAAAAAACAGGAATTTTACCAGCATTAGGGAAAGGATTAAGGAGCATATGCATACAGTGCCCACTACAGTGGCACAAGGAGCTATTAAATGGAGAGTGAGTAACCCAAATTGCTCTGATAGCAGATGACTCCAGTGTGGCACTCTGGGTCTTTCCCATTCCAGCCCTACTGACTCTCACCCATGCCACGTCCCAGTGCTCTGCACCTTCCTAACGAAAAGGTAGCCAGGGCAGGAAGTCTATACATACTTTCTCCCTTCTCCCAGCATCTAGAATCAAACCAAGAAACTTTACTAAGGTGACTCCTCCCCACACCTGTCAACTACTATTGCACCAGCTGGGAGAAGGAATACTGACCTGGAAAGGCTCCAGCCTTGTGGGTCACTCTACCTCCAACTTCACCATGAGGTCTCTAGTCCTATATTTTAATACTGGTACCAGTATCCAGTAAGTCCTAAACAAATACCCAAAATGGAAAGAGGCAAGCAGGGTTGCACTCCTGTCGTTTCTCCCTACAGTGCGCTCTGGATGTATCCCTTACCTTCCCTGTAGTTCACTAAACTCTATGGTATGGCTTCAGGCTGAGGTGTGGCACCTGTGACAAGTGCTCCCTCACAGGAAATCTAACAGGGGGTGTGTAGGTGACAATTTTGGTCTATGATCTTCAAGGCTCAATTACAATTAGGAACTTACAAATGACTGTAAACTTCTTCGATCTTTTGCCAAGAAGTCACTGAGCCAACTACAAGTGCAGGTACTAACTGACAAATGACACAAGTCCTAGAATGGGGTCTAGTCTCAGAAACAACACAAAGACATCATCTGGGCGGTCAGAGAAGGAGCAGCTGAATTCCACTAGCTTCCTGGCAAGGGGTAGTACAGGAACAAGTGAAAAGTGTGTTCTTTCTCCTCTTTGGGCCAGCCTCATCTACCCTTTCACCTTCAAGTTGGGCTGGAAACACAAGTTTGAAATTGGAGAATGTCTGTACTGCTGCTTCCAGTTCCCTTGACAGATGAATAATCATTCTTGTACTGAGTAAGAACACAAGTTAATATCCAGCAACTTTATATTTAGTACTTTGTATTAGCTCAGAAGCTGAACAGACATGAATTCCCATAATTCTGATCATAACCTAATGAGGAAAGCAATATCATCTTTACAGGTGAACACACTGATGCGCAGGACCTTAAGTAACTGTTTCACAGTCAGGCCCAGCGCGATAGCTCAGTGGCTAAAGTGCTCATCTTGAATGCACCAGGATCCCATGTGGGCGCCAGTTCTAATCCCAGCGGCTCTGCTTCCCATCCAGCTCCCTGCTTGTGGCCTGGGAAAGCAGTCGAGGACGGCCCAAAGCCTTGGCACCGTGCACATGGGAGACCTGGAAGAAGCTCCTGGCTTTGAATCGGCTCAGCTCCAGTCATTGCAGCCACTTGGGGAGTGAATCAGCAGATGGAAGATCTTCCTCTCTGTCTCTCCTCCTCTGTATATCTGATTTTGTATTAAAAATATATCTTTTAAATAAATTGTTCCACAGTCACATAAAATGGCACGGTTATGAGCAAAAGACTACAAGCTTCTAAAGTCTGTGTTTTTCCCACCCCACTAACCTCGTTCTCACTGACCTTTGACTCACAGAGAAATGGCTCTCTCTGGGTCTGGTTTCTGCAACAGAAAGTACCAGCGCAACAGCCTAGTGTCTAAATGCCCACCTTGCATCTACTGAGATCCCATATGTGCACCAGTTCGTATCCCAGCTGCTCCACTTCCCATCTGGCTCTCTGGTTGTGGCCTGGGAAAGCAGTCGAGGATGACCCAAAACCTTGGGACCCTATACCTGCATGGGAGACCCAGAAGAAGCTCCTGACTCCTAGCTTTGGATCAGCTCAGCTCCAGCTGCTGCAACCACTTGGGGAGTGAAACAGGAGACAGAAGATCTTTCTGTCTCTCCTCTCTGTGTATCTGCCTTTCCAATAAAATAAGCTGCACAGAAAAAGACCTCCAAGGCTAACTGTGTGACCATGATCATCATCACCAACACGCATCAAGTACTCACCACACACCAAGAACTGAAATAGGTCTTCTGTGATGACAGGT